GAGGGTCAGTTGGTCAGTTGGTGCCGGTGCAAGATTTTGTGTTGTTTTGCAATGAGTCCCGCTGATTTTATTTTGAAAGTATCAATATTAGTTTTGTTGTGGAGTGTGTGTGTGTATGTGTGAAATTAGGTTTCTTACTAGTGTTTTAATTATATTGATTTATCGATATTAACATTCATAATGCCGCGAGTGACCTTTACAGCCGCGGAGTATACTGACATGGTCCTAATTTACGGGAAATGCCATCAAAACGCTTTTTTAGCTTAAAGTGTTTGTCCTACAGACGGTCTAACTTTTGTTGTGGTTGTCAGGAAGCGTTTTAATCACATTTTTGGTGAACAGTGGATAGGACGCTATGGGCCTACACGATGGCTACCTAGATCACTAGATCTCACGCCTTTAGATTGAAAACCTAAAAATTTAAATTAGATTTACATTAATTTGATATACTATTGTATGTATGATGTACTAAACTGGTGTACAATAAAGTTTATTCTATTCTATTTTATTAAATAAAATTTTAAGGAAAGATTGATTTAGTGAATAAAAACAGTTGCGAGCGGTATTCATATTTTAGTAAATTGATAAAGTGATTTTAAATAAAAAGCAAGTGAAGTAACTGATTAGTGATAAGAATGTAATATTCGGCAAATCGACGCGGCACCCGCGCCGTCGCGTCGCCGCGTCGCTAGGCTCGTTTCGTTGTTGGCGCCATTTTTGCATCGCTGCCGTCGCGGCGTCTACAGGTGAGTGACCCGCGTGATCAATGGTGCTCCAATTTGACAATATTTTATTGTATTTATTTTGTTCTAAATTTGCATTTCTGTATTTTATAAAAAAAAAATTTTTTTTTCATTTTAACCTACTTATATTGACCTGTGTAATCCACCATTCAAAGGGTTGTTATAACTCTGGGGCCACGTTGTATATTTTAATATCATATAAAATTAGTGGGCATATAGTGAGTTTATATAAAAAGTTGGCCTAGTGCGATTCAGAGTAACGCACTATAGGTCCCATGCCATCATGAAAATAAATTTTAAATACTTTCGTAGAGGAACAACGAGAATTGCTATAACAATTATTTCTGACCTCGGGTAAAACACTCGTGGTATCAAACAAAGAACACACATATTCAAAACACAAATTACACATCTTTGTGAACCACCAAAGATGTAAATAGCTCATTCCATGTTTTTTATTAAAAAAAATGTTTTCAGTGTTTATCGTCAGTTCAGTGTTTATAGTCCTAACAGCTATTAAGGTGAAGTAAAATAAGTTAGTTCAATATTAAAATTAGCTAGATTGTACCGATCCATCCGTTTGTAATTTTTTGTGTTTATTTCATACTATAAAAAGATTAGTCGAGATCTTACTTGCTTTTTCAGAAGATAACTGTCATTGTGACTTAATTGTATTGATTTTGTTAAAAAGCCATTGTTCTGTTAGATACAATGAAGTGCTATTGTCCACAGTGAGAAGCTAACAGCTGTGTCAAGATACTAATCGTGCGGATATTATCCGGTTCATTTTAAACTGTATACTTGCTTCTTTTGTTGAACATATTTCTAAATTAAATATTGTATTCGCAATTATTTTGATAAGCTGTATTCGTTTTTGAAACTATCGATATGAATATCTATAGGTATATATATGAAAATCTGCTCACACATATCATGTTCAGCCAATCGGTCCCGAGAGTTCTCTTGAAATCGTTTTTCCCTGGAAACCGTTATGTATATAATAGCTCCCAGAGGAGAACGACAGTGGTATTTTATTACCTGACTATGAATTCAGTGATAGAATCGTGTTAAGGGGTTATAAATTCTATGGTAAACTTCACATCTCTAGCTGGCTTTTATGATTATTGTTTTGGCCAAAAATTCAAGTACTACTCAATTTTTATATATCGTTAGGTAAGTGTCGTTCAGCGACGATGAAAGTGGACCTGAAGACGTTTTTTTATAATTGGGTAGTCCTTAAGTATTTGGAGACAATGAACATTTAAACTTTGAAATATTAGTTGGTTAAATATACTGGGGCCCGGACCGGTGGATTTCTGAAATTTGATATTTTTAAGATATGTTGACTGACTATTTATATTTGAAACGATAAAATAAAGGCTTTATAAAGATTGTTATTATAATAAATATAAACTAAAAACATAACTTTGAAATAGTAACAAGTACGAGGGCCGCATTTATGTAGCCGGAACTGGCCAGTTACAGAACAATATTAAAAAAGTAATTGTAACATTTAAAAATGGAAGATTTTGTTTCATGTAGCTGTCATTTGTTTATTCTTTGTGGCGTCATTTTGAAAATTGCGTGTCATTATCGCTATGGATTTAACTCGTGAAAATGTTCGTGCTATGATTTATTACGATTTTCGGCGAGGGCCAACTCAAAAACAGTGCATCGATCAACTCACTTCGACTTTTGAGGACGAAGCACTATCAAAAACAACTGTGTATCACTGGTTTAGTGAGTTTAATCGAGGGCGGTCTGTGCTCACGGACGAATTTAAAGGAGGTCGCCCTAAATCGGTTGTTGTACCTCAAAATATTGATGCTGTGCTGGAGCTAATAATGCAAGATCGTCATGTTACATATCGCGAGATAGAGGTCTCTCTGGGAATAAGTTTGACGAGTATATGTAAATAATTACACGAACATTTAGCTGTAAAAAAAAAGTTCCCGTTGGATTCCTCACAACTTGAGAATTGACCAAAAACGGGCTCGTGTCGATTGGTGTAAAAAACTGTTACAAAAGTACAATCAGGGTCCGTCAAAAGCTGTCTATAATATCTAAACAGTTAAAAAACGTTGACCACGTAATTTGACGTGGTCCACGTTTTTCGAGCCGCGAAGAGGCTGTTGATACGTTCAAAATGCACGTTATTTAGATACCACAATAAGAATGGAAAAAGTGCTACGTAAATTAGTTCCAAGGTATGTAAAAGTGCATCGATCATCACGGCGAATATTTTGAAAAGCAATAAAACTATTATAATTATGTTATATAATTAAAATTATATAAAATTAAGCTGTACGTTAGTTTCAATTTGTTATTCCGGATGCATAAATAGCAGCCCTCGTATAGTATATATATCATACGTATCGTATGAGTAATCAAGAGTTCTTTTGTAGTACCGCTGAGTTAGTTATGTTGACTTACAAGTAACGGCTAAATGATAAAATAAAATTCTCAACTCACATTGAATTTGTATTCCATTGCAATCGAAATCATTAGTGCAGTCTCTTTCTGTTTATTTTTCACAAAACATGCTTTTACTGTTGTAAAAGGAATGTTTTCGAAAACTCAGTTTATTTGTTTGTTAAACTTTTATGCTTGAACTACTTAACTAAATAAATTTTGAATATCCCTTCTTTGACAACTTCTTTGAACAGAATAACGATACTTACTTACTGGCACAGTCAGACGATACTTTTTCTCTTGTAGGCAGTTTTGCATACACTTTGCCAGTGTGTGTTTTAGCGAAAAGAAAAATAGTTAATATTGCTGCGAAACATAATTACGATACTTACGTTAACGTCCCTTGTGTGCAGTATAAAAAACACTATTGCCAGTATAATTTTATTATGCAATTTGAAATTTTGCGTTTGCAATCATAATTTTTTTTTTGTTTATTATTTTAATAACTCCACGCACTAGTAATATATTCCGTGTCGCGGGGGACTTCAAAAACATTCATGTCAGAAACACTAAAAACAACCAAACTCAGGACAACAATTTATAAAAGTAAGGAGTCACGTCATAATGAAATAATATAAAATGCATAGCGTTATTTACATACATTTAATCATTGCCTATTATATCTATAACATAGCGACTTAACAAGATGAAACTTCTTTAGATTCTGAGAGCACAAAAGATTTGACTAGAATAATATATATTAATAAAATCTTTATTTAGAAACACAATTATATAATATACTTACTAAACTTTACTAGACAGTTTAGGAACACCGCAAACGAAGAGAACAAAGAACTTTAAATACGTATTACATTTATTAAAAACATAGTGAAGTAACCTTTTCGATTCATAACAACAATATTTAAAACTAAGCAAGGATAACAGCCTCTTGATATTCGAACAAACGTTATAAAAGACGTACTATTTTTTATATTTAGCTTAAACGGTTTACATTGTGTTTTAATGCCGAAATATTTAGGCTACATGTGTAACTTGAGCAACAATGCACCATTAACTAATGCGACATCTTAGATATGAAATCGTTCCTTCTGTTACTGGTGCTTTCATGCAAGCGATTCAGTAAAGTATTTCAGAGTAAATTTCTTGAATGAAAATTCTCTTTTTTTTGTATGAGTGATAATCTTAGCGTTTGTTTCATAATCAAGGGGCTGTTAATAATTCGGTTACACCCGCCAGAGAAATTTGAAGATCACTTAGATACGTCTACAAGATATGCTACATTATATTGAATAGGTGAGTAAGTCATTCGTTGTAAGTAATAGTATCTAAAGATTGAAAAGTACTAGTAAATTTGAGCCTTAGTCATAAAACGTGAATTGGAAATTGTTCCACTATTAAGAGAAATATATAAGAATTAATACTATTCCTGAACACATACACACGTAAAATGAAAATTTTATTATTAGCCGCTGATCCATATGCGAGAATTTCGCTTTTATTTTTACATTTATTTCGCTTTGACAAATATGACTTTGAATTGTACTCGTCACTATGTAGTATTCTTTTTACACATCGATCGTTTTTTAACAAGCATTCGAGACGTTCGTTGTTCCTCGTGAATGGATCAAAAGCCAGAATATTGACACAAAAGGGGCCACGTGCTAGGGCTTTGGAAGCTTAGTTCCATTGGCAGTAGTAAAGCCGTCCTGTAAGACCCTCTTATTAAATCTATTTTGGAATGTTTGACGGTTGACAAGTTGACAAAATCTTCATTCGCCCACTTTATAGTGGTTCGAGGTGTGCTGTGAACATCTTTTGAGATGTTTAGAAGCTAGTTCTGCCAAATATAAAATTTCCCGGGGCAGTGGGGTCCTCAGTGGAGAAATACTCCTTCCAAAGCTCCTGGAATTCTTCCCATGAAACGCAGCTCTTACCCTGTTGAAACAAAAAATATAAATTAGAATATACGGTTCTAACAATTCAAATTGATATTATTATTATTTTGCATTTTTAATTGTTATAGAGTTTTTTGTGACTTTTGGACAAATACAGTGTTTTTAAAAAGAGAAGGTATACAGATAGATGATGATACATTTAAGTATTATAATATATACAACTAGAAATCCTTGCAGAATACTGAGCATATTGTATTCCGCCTATGAATTGCAAAATACTATATTCCATTCATACGATTTTCATTTAAAGACACAGATAATACAGTGAAAATGGTTATCGATTTGGGTTGTGACATAGCCTGCAAAATACATACCTACCTAATTTAGCGGATGCGGTCGGATGTGGTAAGTCATTGGGTATTTAAAATGTAAGCAGCACCGATGTATATATACCTTGATTGCTAAGCCGGAGATCATGGGTTCGATTCCCAACCAGGACAAATATTTTATGATGAGCACGATCATTTGTTCTGTGTCTGGGTGTAATTTTTCTACAATATGTGTGTATTTAGAAATATATAAGTATGTTTATCAGCAGTCTGGTTACCATAGTACAGGCTCTGCCTAGTTTAGGATCAGATTGTCGTGTGTGAGATGTTTAAAGTTATTATTAAAAGATCAAACTAACAAAGGTTGTCGTCAGGTGCTTTGTAATTTATAAAATGAAAGTATGTAAAATGAAAAACACCAAAATAATTTTTCAATTCAAATGTACTATTTGTCAATAAATTTGACATCTTCTTTTAATAGTCTAAATATTAATGAGACAGCATTATGTATAGACTAACCTTTCCAAATTTGTTAACTATACATAATACAAAAAATACAACTTTACAAATTCATATAAATTATTTACCTCATTGAATAAAAACCTTTTTTACTACTTTTTTGCTCAAAGAAGTCAGGAAAAGCAAATTGATGGTCGATAGTCACGACATCGTGTCAGCTGATCATCAATTTTCAAAAAGAATTTCTGAGTGACTGGATTCAATGTAGATTTGTACTTACACAAAACGTTTACGACCAATAATGAATCGAAAAATATAGATAAGAAGCACGCTATTCAATTGTACCACTTATCTTTCCTGAATATCTCGATCAGTAAGCAGGTTTTCTAGACAGCAATGTTTATTAAGCTATACATATTATACATCTGTGTACATACACTAAACTTTATATTTCTAACTGTAATACTTAGGGCATACTGTAAGTTTCTGGATTCTGATAAATAAGACTAGATATATGACTTACGATACATTTATTGTTTTTCGAAGTATATTCGATCGCAGTTAATGCATTTTTGCATTCGCTGAAACCACTGTACAAAGCACTTGGACTAGTCTTCCTTAGGGACCTCTTCAATAGCTTCATGGAACGCATTCACCGCCGATTCAAGGCTCTTAAAACGTGTGCCTCTAAGTTTGTCTTTAATTTTTGAAAACAAAAAGAAGTCGCAATGTGCGAGGTCTATAAGGCGCATTCGTCATCAGTTCCACATTTGAAGCCTTCAAATGCGCTTTTATTCAAATTGCAAAGCTCCTGAACCTTCAGATGCACATGTAAAATATATTGCACTCCAAAGCCTAACAAACCACGAATGGCTGGCAAGTAATTTTTTTGTCAGTTTCAATAAGTTGTCGTACGGTGTCCATATTAGAGTCTGTAACCGCAGTCACCGGCCGACCTTTCCGTGCCTCGTCATGGAGATGATCACGTCCACGTCTAAATTCTCTAAACCACCAATACACAGAGCTGCAATATGGTGCTTCATCACCAAATGCCAATAGAAGTCTCTAGCAACTCTCTTGTTGATTTAAGCCACAGCAAAAAAAAAAACATTAAAATGTTACAAGTTAAATTCATTTTGATAGTGACTTACAATTTTCAAAAGGACTTCACAATGAAAAAACAAATGACAGTCTCGGAAATTAAAAAGTAACATCTTCCCAAAGACTTTCATTTTCGAATTCAATAATTGTTTTTTCATTCTTTTATTGTAATTGGGCCAGATCCAGAAACTCTCAGTATGCCCCACGTAATACAATAGAATTAAATCGGTATAAGTAAAAATTTTGGAGCATGTTGAAAAAAAAATATCGCCAGGTAAGGAAGGTAACAATAGAAACAGAATATTACTAAAAGGATTGATTACGGAATGCAATAAATACTTCAAGCAGCTCAGGTTTCCAGCTATTTCTAAAAAATTTGAGCCATCTGACCGAATTTAACAAATCATCATCAACAGCCTTTATTAGTCCACTGGCTGGACATAGAATGGTCTCTCGTTAGAAAGGAGTTTTTGGCCTAATTTTATGAATTATTTCATTACCGTGTTGGTTAGATAAAGACAAGAGGGAATTAGGCAATAATAAAATTGCTAAATCCGTAATTGAAGTTATCGTTATAATAGAGATCAGTTAATAAAGATCGTAAAGATGAATATTTGTGACCAATAAACGCAATAAAAATATGGAATTATGTCTATGACTACTAGTATGAACTACTACCGATCTAGATTATTGTATGTTATAATAAATCTAGTAAAGAGAGTAGTGCTTCTTTTGGCACGGCAATCGTAATAGTTGTCGGTAATTTAAATTTCGCCTTATTAGGGTCCATTGAAATATGAAATTAGGATATGAGATAAAACATGAAATATACTGTTACATATAGGTATAACATAAATATAATTCAGTATAGTTTTTAATGAAAACAATCAAACAAAAAAGTGTTGTTGACCAATTGTTTTAGTTTTGCAGTCTATAACATTTGATCAGATATACATGTAGAACCTAAAAAAAACTAACCTTAACCTCATTTCTAAGGAGAGGCCTATGTCCAGCAGTGGACTAGTAAAGGCTGTGGATGATGATTATGATGTCATGTAGAACAAAGAGGCCCGTATTACAACAAAGAAAGTACGGTTTTGAATTATAAAACGCCTGTTATTGCAATAGCTATATGTAAATTCTACAAAAAATTTATATGCCATCTTAGTGTGAAAAAAAAGGAGCTCAGTACCATTGCAGCAGAAATAAATTCTGTCTTACGTTTCACAAGTCATAACAAAATAAAAATATTAACCACAAACGCGTCAACAATTTGAGCTTAGATAACAGTTTCTGGGTACTCGTAATAATTAATTTCGTGCATTGAAGGTCGTAAAGTGCGTAAACTTGTTCCTAATTAAAACCAGCACAGGGAATTCTCCAAAGGGACTATTTAGGTTTATGACAAGCCTGCCTCTTTGTTTAGTCAGCATTCGTGATTGCGATTAAATTTGAGATAAGAACAGTAACTTTCCCTTGTACTCATAGATATCTAATAAAATTATGAACATAAACCACGGGTACACATATTTCTTTAGTATAAGAAAGATAAGGCCATAGTAAATCATGCTTCTTAAGGCAGGGCAACTTTTGAAGTCGTCGATAACATAATCAACAACTCGAAGTTATCCAGAGTTTCAAGTTTTTAATTTTGCTTGAGATATGCTGCTCACACCCACATTTGAATGTGATGAACATTATTTTTGTTTGTTATAATTCGTATTTCGTTTGTTTTCAATTGGTTTATTTGAAATTAAATTGTATGGTTTTTTTTTGTGTAAGCATTTAAATATGAGTATAGCATAGGCTTGTAACGATAGTTCATATTTTAGTAATTTTCATTTCATTTCATCGTTTGATTTCATTTAAGAAAGTTTTTAGAGTTATTTATTAATTTCTAATCCATTCTGCCATAGTTATAATAAATGTGAAACTGAGTTTGTTTGTTTATTACGCTTTCACGCCTTAACTACCAAACGGATTTTCAAAATTATTTAACAAATGAAAAGCTACATTATCAGCGAGTAACATAGGCTACTTTTTACCGCGATAACCGACAAACACGCTGCCAGAGCCGCGGGAGAAAGTTAGTATTCATATAAACTTCCAAAGGTGTACGATGACTGGGGATGCCGGTTGGACCATTCGGCTATCAGACATTCTTTAAGCGAAATGAAGCCTATGAATAAATGACATTGTTCCATTATGACTAATAAATAATTATTAAAAATAAAATTGTTATTAAAAAGGTTTATAGTGGATCAAGGAAAACTATAAGTTAAACTCCTCTTAAGAGCTGATGTTCTCCTTTTAGAGAAGAATGCGAAGTATGATTAAAATAATTTGCAAACTGCAATAAAATACTTACAAGAGACTTTTTAAAACGAAGTTTTAGATTATTTTCTTTAACTAGCCGTTTCGTTTATAATTTTCTCTTTGGTAATGGTATCTGTGGTTTTGTAGTAAGTAGCTATTGACCATCCGAAAACTGACGTACGGTTTTTCGTTACTAGAAAGCGGTTCTTTTTCTGTTTTAAAACTAAACAGAACTATTTATCATGATTATATATTACCAGTTGATAGTGATTTTAAAGATTTCACGTGATTCGGTAGAATTTATATTTTGATTCTTATATTATAGCGTTCACTTTTTTATTCTTACCAATTATCTATTAGGAACAACATACGTTGTAATTACTTTGCGCGTGCAATAAGTAAAATATTGATTTACACCTATTTGAAATACCTTTCACTGTTTTTAAAATGCTGACTCACCACTAATTACACTAGGCTATTTAATGAGTAGTATTACACTATGATTGTGGGAAATTATAGACGATCGGGACACATACCCTACCCGGCAGTAATTGTTATGTAAAGCCCTCCCTCACTTAGCAATTATTTCCTATATTTATCTGTACATACACACTTACTAATATGTACGTTTACTAAAATTTATACTTGTTTTGATGAAGCTTTCGATACTTGAAACCTTTTTAATGTTTTGAATGTTAAGTGTTACGATATGTGGGACAATTAGGATTTACATTCAAATTTCGTTACCAAAGCTTCTAACTCAAAAGAAAAACCTTTTCTCGACTGTGAAATTTCGGCTTTTTAATCGACTTCAAAAAGAAGTAGTTTCTTTTTTAAGTTGTAGTTTTAAGTTTGTTACCTTACAACTCTGTTATTCATGGACCGATTTGCAAAGTTATTTTATTAATTGGGAGAGCATACGTTGTATTTGGTTCGTGTTTGGTTTGGAATAAAAAGCAATGAAGAATACAGTTTATATAGTCTTTGATACTATTGTAAAATTAATTACTTATTCTTAATTTTTATGTGTTCATTGTTCTACTGAAGATTTATAATGTATCGCTGGTTTTCTCAAAAAAAACTATAATTTTTTAAATCAAAAACATGACATGGATTTAAATATTTTCAGTTTATTTTAAGGCAGTGCTGCAGTCATGTTTGCCGTATTGTTAGAATAAACCGAAATCAATTACAATGAAGAAGCATCCATCTACGTTAAAGGGTAGTAGCACCAACACAATTACCTTTGCCCCCATTCTGACATGCACGTGGATACTCAATAGTTTTCATTAACAGAAGTAAAGAAACAGAAAACGAAAACAGCATCATGCCAATAGGCGAAGTCATATAACAACAGAACATTTTGGTAATTAGCCAAAATAGAAGTGCTCTTACCTTAGCCATCTTACTGAAAGCGACCTTGCACTCCTGAGGGTCGATACCGTAGGAAGAGCAGACGGTGGTGAACTCGTCGCTGTCAATGGTCCCATCAGCACTGGCATCTTCCAGTTTGAACATAAAGTGGGCATACAGCTGCTGCCATTTTAGAGCAGCTGACGGATTCTGAGCATAATCATTCCACATGGAGTTCCATTCTTCGACAGACACCTGATAAAGAAGTATAATCTTATCAGAATCTTGTTTTTTATGTACTAATTCAAATGACCATGGTCAATTTTCATTTGATGTTTACTTTTGGGAATTAGTTGCCGATATTTGAAGACTGTTGCAATTTCCAGCCGTGATCATGGCAATTGCAACAGTAAAGAAATTTCAGAAACTAATTCCTAAACATAAACATGTTAAATATCCCTTTTATAATAACTAATTAGATATGTTTTATGTTGTAAAGTTACAGTTATAAAAACAAGCAATGAACGATTTCAATTCTACAATCTATATTTTATTGTTTGACTCTAAATTTGAAAGTTACTTTTGTCTTTCTATTACATTTTCACGTCAAATGCGTTGAACGAAAAAAGTTGAACCACAAAAGTGATAAAATAGGGTATTAAAGTTTTTATGGCAGATGTAATTTCCCAAGTTTAGGGATCTAAGAAAACAATGCCACGGACATCAGTAAGTAACGTTATTATTTCCTTTCCTTACAACACTACGTTATATTTTAAGGTATATTAAAATTTTATGGTAATAATTCCACACTGAAATAGCGATAATACAACTTAATAGCACAGAAGCGTCACATGATTAAGTCGTTGGGGGAATGTAGACCTTCATAAGAATTACTGGCACGACAATTTACATAGTCTATGGCCCAGCGAACAATGCTTACGTAAATAAGTACTACGGCATATGAAAAAGTGTGAATAACGTTACAAATTTCTAATAAAAGCGTTTTGTAAATTTATTATACAAAAACTCGACGTGTTATTAAAGGTTATTTGATATTGTATGAGTAGCATAATTGTGATCACGTCCCCTTTGTGTTCTTGAGTGTTGATTAAAAATATTCGAGAGAAAAATTTAATAAAGGCTGTGTTTATTTTGTTGCCGGTGTGATGAGCTGGGACTTTTATTTTGTTATGTTGCTTTTGAAATGTCAGTGCTTTTAATAATAAATTTTCGTGAGTGTTTTCAGAGTATTTTTTGAACTTGTAGTTGATTTATTTAGATGTATTTATGTTGATTCTTGTTTCTCAACTGCCGTGTCTTCTATGTTTTTTTTATTGGGACTAATCACACCCACACGCCCACCACTGTAACTCCTGTACACCAGGATTCACAGCAGTGACCCACGAACACACCGAGTTTTGACACTCGGGAAGTCCCAGGAAGAAATTTAACTGTCTTGGAACCCGCAACGAAATTAATCAGAAGAAAATTGGAGGAGTTGGAAATACAGTAAATCCACTTCCCTCCTTAGCAAAGCGCTAGAGCTATGTTTGATTTCTATAATATGTATGGCAGAATCGCCTAAACGCACGGAAATTCACCCTAGTTGACACAAGATCCCCATAGTATACCGCCCCAGATGTCACCTGCAAGCTATTCAGCATTATATTACGTTCATTATACCAAAGACTACATTCCCAGAGGATATGATGAGCAGACTGTTCATAGTGAGAGTTAGGTGTTGAGCATTGACACAATGGTGACTCAACTAATTTAAATGAATAAAGCTTGCTCTTAAAGTTACCATGACCCGTAAGAAATTGAGCGACACAGTGATCCACCTCAAGCCATATCCTCGACAACCGTTCGCGAACAGATGGAAAGACTTGGTAAAGATGGCGCCCCTTGGATGATTCATCCCAGCGTTGTTGCCATTCGTCTATGAGGTCATTATAGACATCGGGCTGCTGTTGAAGCAATCTTGTAATTTTACCGCGATCCCGCGCGCCCAAAAAATCGCATTCCATGTTTTGTTGTCTTGAATAGTACATGGCTGCACGTCTCTGCACCTCGAGATCGACCGGAAGCACACCCGCCAACACCGGCAAAGCCTCAGTGCTAACCGTCCTATATGCCTTACACAAGAATATCAGTGCAAGTCGTTGGCCTTGTAACAGTTTGCGACGGACAGCGCCTACGGTCGCCCTATCGGCCCATACAGGTGCACCATAGCACATAGAACCTAAATAAGTAGCTCCGTATATGATCTTTAATGTATTAAATGATAGACCCCATGTCGCAGTTGATACCCTTGTCAATGCACAGAAACTCTTTTTAGACTTTTCATTAACTATTTTAATATGTTCGATAAATGAAAAGTTTCTTTCTAAAACTAATCCTAGGTAACACACTGAGGTTTTATTTTTTACAGTAACATTGTCAAATCTAATGCTTGGCGGTGATTTGAGGTTACCTTTTAAAAGTAGCTGGAAGGTTTTGTTGGGTGCAAAAGTTAAGCGATTACGTTCACCCCATTGAGATATCAAGTTCAAATATCTATTGGCTGATCTCTCAAGTTCCGCCCTAGTATCAGATTCCACCAGTAATAAGCCGTCATCAGCATACGCGTTCAGAATACATCCGGATGGTATTGGTATCGCAAGAAAATCGTCGAAGCCGATATTCCACAAGTATGGACCTAGCACCGATCCCTGAGGACATCCCATTGTAAGCGCCTTCGACACAGAATGATGACCAAGTCTTAGTTTAGTTGTACCTTGTGAAAAGTACGAAGAGATAAGGGAATAAATATTTTTAAAGCACCCTCGTGATTTTAATTTCAGCAACAGCATGGGCCACCATGCGTTGTCGAAGGCGCCACATATATCTAAGAAAATAGCCAGCACGTATTGAAATTTTGACTTTGTGACAAACTTTCTAACCGATATAACAGCGTCAATTGTCGATTTACCCAAAGTAAATCCAAATTGTCTATTATGAAATTTGACTCCACCTGGCAGAAGCCGGGGCAAGACACAAGACGTTCTAAAAGCTTTCCTAACGATGGTAACAATGTGATTGGTCGGTAGGATTTAGGATCATCCGGTGGCTTGTCGCCACTTTTTGGTATTATACGAATATTACCGCACCGCCATATACGAGGAAATATTCCTTCAGCAATGCAACGTTTAAAGACAGTGACAGTGTGTCTTCTATGTATTTGAGACCATTATCTATGCACTTCAGTCAAATAATTGCGTAACTTATTAGGTTAACCTAAAGTTAAAATGATTAATTTTAAGTCCCCATGTAATTTGTGTCAATTGTGTTGTAACAAAAACTACAAAAACAACTCTTTTATACTTAATTATTAACATAAATGTCTTGTTGTACACATTTTAATAGGCCATAAACGTAGGATAGGACACGTTACTATGTTCATTAGATAAAAGTAATTAAGTCACTCAACTAAGTCAATTATTGGGTTAGTTGCTATTCTGCTTTACGTCTTAACTAATAAGAAATGTCAGCCTAAAGTAAGAACCAGTTTTAATTGACTGGGGTCAATTAAAACTGGTTCTTACTTTCAAGGTCAGAATCAAGTAACGTGCTTATTAAAATTTTGACATAAATTGATAACTTTGATATTTCTAAAGGACTAGCAACTCTGTCTTTACAATGGTGACGGAGCAAATACACGCTCCTCGCTATTTATCATAAGAAATCTTTTAAGAGGGATTCCAGAACACTTTGTTTTTATAAAAGTTTTTTCGTCTAGGCTGTGCACGCCAGTGACTCTCTTCTGGCCATTTTGTTCTGTTCGGACACTTCAACAATCATTGCCTTATTTTAATAAATTTAAATAAAACGATATTTATACATGTAAACAGTCCCTATGACATGAAAATTTCACTGTCGTCAGTGGAGGAGTGTGTGGAGTCACTTCAGACAGATGAATAGAATGATAGAGAAACACAGCGGGAGACTTCATTTTATCGAATCGAATCGAATTTCTGATGTCGTGAAGAATATCTATGGTTTATAGAAGGATAGGTATAGTTGTGTGTGCCTCTGTGAATATAACTTTTAATACATATGTATTTAATTTTTAACACTATGCACTATAATATTTTTATGTGTTTTGCATTTTTTTCTTTAGAAAATTAACATTTTCATATCATTTTAAATAACATAAATTTTTAATAATACAAGAAACGGTTGCATTAAGAAATAATTGAAGATTCTTTAAACCCATGCTGTTACATATTTTTTGAATACTTTGTTTTGTTATTGATTTAATGAAATACAAGTGTTTCAATAAAAAAATGCACAATAGAAATAAAACAATCAATTTAAAAGTTTAGCGAGCGAGCGAGGAATTTCAATTTGTAGGAAAAACAATTTCAATACTAAGTTGTGTTGAAGCTTACATTCCGCCGTGGTTTCCATTTTGAATTTATTATTTGGTAAGACAGCGATCATGTTTTTGAAAACATATTTGTGCTAGATTTACTTTTGTAACTTAAAATGAAAATGTAAAAATGTTTGTGTAGATATGTGCCACGCCGTGCAAGGTTACATTGATGAGAAATAAGGAACATAAGTGACTCGAAAAATAATATCTTTGAAGAGTATATTGTATATTGAAGTATATTGAAGTATATTGTGTCAAAATTTGAGCTCAATCGGTACAGAACTTTTTGAGTTTTTGAAGCGTACACAACCCAACTTACCATTTTTATATATAAATAGATTATTACTAATAAATAATTGTATTCCTCTCGTAATCCCTATAATTTGTTTATTACATAACAATATGAAGTATTTTGTATATGAAATGTTAATGTCTATGTAAAGAAAAATGACTGGTTAACTGTAGGTAATATATTATAAGCCTTTAATATCCTCCTGTAAATCTCTTTAAGTGTCTTCACCACACTTTTACTCTTTTAACTTCTATTGGATCCAATTTAGTCTGAAAAAGTTTACACATTTACTTGCTTACTTACAAATTTAGTACAAAACCTATCTATCGGTAGAACTTCATTATATTACATCACTACGTTTCAATTCGATTTTACAATGACAATGTTACAGTGTGTTACAGTCACAGTGAACGAAGACCTTTTATTTGGTGACGGGATGGAAAATCTCGTTGAATCTCCTGTATCTAGGTCTGTGTTTGTATATAAGGTGGTATAATGATTACCTGTCCATCTTTGTTGGAGTCAGCCCTCTTCCTGAGTCCATCCCAGATCTTGATCATGACCTCGTGGGTTTCAGTGTGTTTGGGGTCACCTGGTTTCCAGCCTCGGAGGTGGCAGATTTTCTGTGCACAAAGAAATTGAGTTAGTAATATGATAATCTGGTATTGCTTGGCTTTAATAATATTAAATGGTAAATTGATTGCTTGATTGGACAGTAGGAGTTTTCATTGTTAGAAAATAAGAAACTAAGCTTCGCACGGGTGAATGAAGATATTAAAGTGGTCAGTGTAAAATAGTTTATGTTGTTATTATGATAAGAATTTACTACAGTATATCTTTATTTATAGGCACGCTTCGCGCCTACCAGCCGCTGCCACTAGAGATGGACGGCAGCTTTGTCCCGCATTTTAAATCTTTGATATCTTCTTATATACTTTTTCATTATATGTAATTTTGACCTACATTAAGTGCATAACGTATCTAACGTGTTGAATTGGATAAGGAATTATACTGTGTTATTTAAAATAGCTTAGTAAATAACCCATTTTTTTTTTTAAATAACAGATAAAAAGGGTAACTGTGGGATGCCCCTTATCTTATAAACCATGGTCTACATTTTTTGGATCTGATATATCTTTTCGTACAGAGACGTGTTAAGTTACATATACAATGTGTGAGAAAATGAATTTCAAAATGTTATTCTGGAATCAATAATAATAATTTAAAAAAAAAACTCGTAAAAATTATTATGATTGTCAAAAAGTACATTTTTATTTACCTACTTATGATAATTTATTAGTAGTGATGTGCCGGATATCCGTATCCGTATCCGTATCCGCGGATATTCAAATGACAAGAGAGATCCGTAACCGTATCCGTATCCGTGACTTTTTTGGCGGATCTTTCAATACATATTACATAGATGACATTCTATATAGGTGATTTTGTATTCACTGTAAAACTCTTAGGTATGTGTTTGTAACACTATAAACAACAACGTTTTTTCTGGCCAACGTCAAAATGAAAAAAAATTGGTCCTCCATTCAAATGACCAATCAAATGTTATTAGTTTGTATGGAGTAACAATTTTTTTTCTTTCGTTTTCGGTGTTAGTCCAGAAGAAAAGTTGTTGTTTATAATGTTACTAATATGCACTTCAGAGGTTTTCAGTAAATTTAAAATAACCCGGAATAATGGTTATTAGGTAGCTATGAAAAACTATTGAATTCTGTTCAGATTACTTTTTATTTCTTAAAACAAATATTTGGCACCTTTGTATTGCAATCATTTATCGTACTACACTAAATTAACTAGGCAGGTCGTAGGTACTGACAGAGCTATCTTTATAATGAGATCAATCAAACATCTTTGTACTAGCTTATTAAAATAATGAAATATTTAAATATCAACGGCAAAGCGTCAAGTGGCGACAACTATCAAGGTCACGGGTTCCGATTGAGTAAGAAACTTAAGATCCGTATCCGTATCCGTATCCGCGGATCTTGACGCCAAATATCCGTATTCGGATCCGTATCCGCGGATATACTATGTTAACGATGCCGGATCGTTAACATAGTATATCCGCGGATACGGATCCGAATACGGATATTTGGCGTCAAGATCCTATTTATTAGAAAAATAATTTCCAACTTGATTTTAATTGTTATCCTAGTCCAAAAAAAAATACCAAAATCAAATGAGACTTTAAACAAATGTCAACCGGAGTGCTATTCAAACAGGAAGGACTACACCACTATCAAATACCCCATACCGCTCAAATGAAAATACTTTTGATTATTAAATATATTACACTCCTTGCGTAAACTAAAATTAACCAATAGTATAACGTATTCAATGTTCGTATAACAATAAAGTATGTTCTACAATACCGACTACGATTGCACAGAATGGGACGGTTTCGCACAATTGCCAACAACCGCATACTGTAGAACTATCTGCCTAGGGTATAGCTTGATTAAACATCAACCACACATGGTTCTAGTGTATTCCCACATATCTGTGCCCGAAATATTGGTTAACACTGACAGTATTATTGCTACATTAACATGGTTTAATTGTATTTGTAGCTATTGCGTGAGTTAGTGTCTAAATTGCAGTTTGAATGTATGTAGGTGACATCATTTCTAATATGTAGTCAACCGGTTTTATAATTTATTTACATCGCGTGGCAATTGATCTGCTTATAATTGAAAACGGAAAAATGAAATTAGGTATCTATTTTACGTGTACTTGAAAGGTACGTAGTAATTTCGGCCCCCTAGAAATAAATGAATTTAAAAATCTAATTAAACTGTATAAAATTATTACTATCCTTCTTATTAAAAGTGACTGTGATTCATTTTATCTTTGTGATTGTAAGTCTTAATCTATTCTTTCAAGAAACGACAATTTGCGTAGTTTTAGTATGATATCTACCTACACACTTGTAAATATAGATAACTATGCATAGTGCAGTATTATGGTTGTATATGTGCCTATAAAGTTCACAATGAAATAGTACACTGAAAGTGTGTCTACACCTTCTTAACCTTATCCACACAACATTATGCAAGTAGTCTCATTTGTATGCATCACATAATGATGTTTCATTCTATATATTACGGATTTCTTCGAGGTAAAGAAATTCCTCAACAAATTCTGGAAGAAGAAGGGTGCTGTTACCTAACTCATGAGTTAAATAGTGTATATCATTAAGTATGTTAAGTACAAAACAGTATAATCTGGTTAGCGGTGACTATAGGTGACTCGAGAATCGTGACACACGTTTAGATAATTTTAATTACAAATAGAAATGCTATATATAATATATTATAAAAACATACAGGTACCATTTTTTAATTTTTAGTCTTCTATACCCTACATGGGTATTATGTACCCATCTGATTAAAAGATATTTTTTATTGTAGACTATGTATATCATATATAGTATACATTAGACTGTACTAATATAGGGATCGTTGAATATAAAATTTAAACATAAAGTAAAAGCAGAAGATTTATTTACGAGAAGTTAGGTTTCTTCAACCACATATACAGTTTTTCATCGCGCAAAGTAAAACTACTCAAAGTCTCTAAGACCCCGCATAACACAATTTGACATATTGATTGCTCTCGATATAATTTGCCACTAATATCCATAATATTGCCAGAACGACCGGATGGCGTAGCGGTTTGTGTAACGGACTGCTATTCTAAAGGTCGGAGGTTCGATTCCCGCTCAAGTCAAACATTTGTGTGCATCAACATTTAATGTTTGATTTGGTCTGGATGGCATGTATGTGTATACCTATGTATGTATTTACAAAAAAAGTATATATGTATTTATATCAGTTATCTAGTACCCATAGTTCAAGGACTAGATGGCGTTGCGTGAATGTGGTAGAATATTAATAATTTGGTATTACTGATAAACAGTAATCAATCAGGCACCATGTGTGTGGATTTGGCAAGTTTCGTCCTAATGAGTGTGCGAATTATGTGCATGAACGAAGAACGGTCGATAGCGTTGAATTATGAAATTGTTGAATCATTCTGCAGCGTTCTACTGCGTTCTGCCATTTATTGAGGCTGAGTCAGTCTTTGACCACGTTCTGTGCAATCTAGTCAAACGGCAGTTGACGTTATTATTTTATCCTGTTATAATTACCATAGGTAATTGTAATACTAGACAATCAAGTAATGCCTATGGTAAAATGATAAGAAAAAAAAACATTTACTCACCTCTATAGCCAACTCGAAATCTTTACGTTCTATCGTGCCGCTCTGATTGACATCTGAAACAAATCCAAAAATTTTAGTAAAGCCTATGAAGTCCTCTCCATTATAATAAAAAACTTCACTTTTATATGCAAAGGCCTTTAATAATAGCATCAATAAATCACCATCTCGATCTCTTAGTAAAAGCAAGTAAACTATTTATGCCATTGGCTATTATATCTAGAGTATATATTGGTATTCTATTAGATTTCACTGGTACACAACAACCGTATTTTGAAATAAAATTCTTTTTTTTAATTTAAAATGTATGATATTTACTACTTACCAAAGAAAACGTTGAAAACGTATAAAAGCTTCTTTCGCCTGAATTCGGAGAGGGACATTTTTGAATCTGAAACAACAATTTGATTTAAAAACTCATTACTTGCAGTGAGTAACTTTTATAGGGCAATCTTTTAAATCTAAAGTTAACCGTGGAGATAAATTCATAGAGAGAACACGAGGTACAGCTGAATGTACAAGCCAACGAGAGAGATGCATGCCCGATATTTCCTTCTGCCTCTGTTTAGCTAAGCTGCGATTGGCTACTTATTAACCCCTCATATTCCCCAGCCAACCACAGGTCGCGGCTAGAAAGAGATAGAGGGGACTGTCTATTATCCATCTTTCCCGTTGCCTATATTGCAAGATTGGGGCTCTTGTTTTCTCTAGGTTATATCTCTATGCTTTAGACAATGTTTACGGCACAATTCTTAAGTGTTTAAGATTAATTTCTTCTTTATAGTTTCTTTTTACCTACAGCCCTCGGCTGCGATTAAGTACAGTTAATATTTTACGACTTTATGATTTAGCGTGGTGTAATATTAAACTTTCTAATATTGATGACATTATGGTATTCATTTTATATATCGTAATGTAGATACGAATTCAATCTAGATACGAATCAATTGGACCTGTGGATTTTAGTGAGATCCTTTAATCGCCTAGGAAGTGAGCTGATGATCTTGAAAAGTTATAGCTAAGCAAGCTCGCTAAGAACCATTTCGATCACATTGGCTTTTGAACAAAAAAAGCCCCATCAAAATTGGTCCATCTGTTCGGGAGCTATGATATCACAGACAGGCAGACAGATACACAGATACGCAGATACACAGGTTAAACTTATAACATCGTTTTCCGTTGGGGGTTCAAAACCCAATCGCCCACAACGCAAACATGGAGCATCCAATTGATGTACACATAGTTTACTTTTCGTAACGTTTTCGTTTAGTTTATCGTCTTATTAAATCGTAGTTATTTACCTAATATCTGTATTTAGATTTACAAATCTGGTTGCGGGTAGTAATAAATCGTTCCAGTCAATGTAGCCTTGATATTCACGAACTGTATAGACAATTTCTAGGCACTAAATTTCAATAAATCTTACGATTCTTGATTTATATGAAATAAACCGGAGTCTTTGGCTTACGTAAGAAATTAACGTTGCTTATAATATATTACAACCGTGTCATCAATACGAAAGTGAGTAAACGAATTAAATTTATAGAAATCTAGCTTTTGAAATGAAAGTGAGCGGCGACGGCGAGCCGCAACCTTCCCCTCAACAGCCACGACCACTCTAGCAAGAATGTCTTACTACGAACAAGCTTTTGCCCGCTTTTGTAAAAAGTATCCCATGTCCTTCCTCAGGTATCAAAGTATCATCATGCCAAATTTTATTAAAATTGGATCAGCGATGGAGCCGTGAAAGCGTAACAGACAGAGTAACTTTCACAATTCAAAATAATATTAGTAGGAGTTTATAAAATTTTATTACACCATACCACTACCATATTGTCTAACAAGGATATGTCGGAAATAATACAATCATGATTATTAAATATTACAATCAAATTCAGAAATTATAAGGCAAACCACCTTTTTCTTCTCATGTTTTAGAAGGGCAAACAAACAGATGGGTCACCTGATGGTGTACGTGACTATGTATGTACGTATGGTAAGTGACTACCATTGTCTATGGACCCCTGCAATTCAAGAGTCACAATTGTCGACCTTTAACCCAAACCCTCCCCCCCCCCCTTCAGAACCAGAAAGGGTTTGGGCTCCAGTAACTTAACTCACACGCTGAAAAGGAAAAATTGAGAAGAAGCAATGTTTGAGAATATTTATATTCCTTATAATACACGTTGTATATAATATAAGTACTTCGCAAGAAATTTGAGAAATATTGCAAGAAGGCAGATAAGTCAAATAAATTTATTAAAGCTTCTTAATACAAAAATGATCCGTGTGGTGACGGATTAAAAATACAGAGGGTCACCACCCCTATTCATCCCGTCGGTGTCGTAAGATCCGACTAAGGGAGCAAACTATACAGGACAACAGCACTGTAAAGAGAAGGAAAACTTGACACAAACCCTATACCAACCCGTCTGGCCAGCGTGGTATAGTAGACCAAAACCTCCTTACTGAGGAGAGGCCTATATCCAGCAGTGGACTATTAAAGGTTGTTGATGATGATGATGATGTAATACAATAATGAAGCGTTTTACTTATTAGCAAAAGAAAATCAGTTCTACAAATGTTTACTAAATTTTGAGGTCATTAACAACCTCGTTAATATATTAAACTTTAACAATTTACATATTTTAAATGTTCAGGCTTCCAATTTTGGCCAACCTCCAATATTTCAATAAACCACAAAATATCGTTATGTTAACCGATTGAAGCAATTTATGATCAATTCAGTTACGAGGGAAAATCTGATTTTGCTTTAGAAATAACAATGAAATAACTTTTCTAATTGAGTCTACATAACTTAAAGTATCCCTAAAATCTTGGTGTTTGTTCAGAAAGGTAACAAAAAAGCTTGTGTCGCTGCAGTAATGCATTCGACTCTCAAGACAGGGTCGCGGGTTCGATTGCCACTCAGTTCAAGTACTTTTCTACATAATTACTAGCGAACCCAACAAACATTGTACACACGTCTTTAATCCGGCAATTTCAAACGCTTAAAAAAATAATTTTATTGCAAACCGAATTGTAAATCTAAACTACTCTCGAATCCACTTGAACATAAAAAAAAACATTATTATCGGTACAGCGGTTTAGGAGGAGTGCTACTTTGTTTAGGTAGTGATAGTGTAGACTGTAGTACAAACATTTTTTTAATGGAATAAAGATATTTTGATTTTGAATTTGACATGTAATACGTCGCAGACAGAAAGTGAAGTATATTCAACCTTGGTATTTAGGTCATACATTGCCTAATATCTAAAATTACTTCTGACCTTAGACATAAATATAAAACCTTTCTAAAGGGTTGGGTACTGGTAAATTCTCATCGTATTAAATTCATTAAGCGTTTTCAGCACTCCTCTTGTTCCACTGAAAACAGTTGATTACTATTTAAAGAAAATTTAGTATGTTACTGGACGATAAAAATAGATGTGGAAAAAAAAAAAGGTTTTCAACGTCTGCTTTTCTAAGTATTTACAGGCATCTAAAATCGCTTCATCAATCAGCCACTTGTACGAATTAAACTTACAGCTTAATGGATTGTTTTTATTCTCTTTTAATTATGCGTCCGTTTCTATTCCATTCAAACATTACATTTTCCGGGCCATAAAATCTCAACCGAGCGCATTTGCGCATCGTTCTCATAACAATGAAATAAAACACATAAATTAAAATAACCCATGAGCTCGGGTATTCGAATCCATTATCCACTTTTCAACAGTCTAACTCGGTTACGGTGTACCCAAACAAAAATATAAGGATTGGCTCACACTTGGTGAAGTAATGTGACGGTTTTCTCCAAAAATTTCTAAGACTATTTATTGTTTAACGACTTGGAAAAAAGGAGGAGATACTTAATTTAGTTGTAGTTTTTATAATGTTAGTTAGCTCAGTACACCGTTATTTACGAACCAATTTTGAAAATTGTTTTTTTATTTGGGAGAAGACGACATTCCATCGACTGTCCCTTGATACAATATTAAAATAGCAGAATTAAGCCCCCGGGTTGACGAGTATAAATCGTCACTGAGCTGGGATAAGATATACGACCTGTCACCAAATGTTGAGGAAAAAGGAATATACTCTGTAATGAGAAGTTAAAAGTTATACCCCCATTCTTACTCACAATTTCACAATTCATCATTGTGACTCGATTACGTTAAAAACTTAATTTTCTGTCTTAATTTGAAGGGTATTCGTGAGTTTTAAGTAAAATGAGTAAGTAAAATTTAAAATGAATTCTTGATTTTTATGAGTGAAGCGAAACTTTGCAAATAAAATGTTAATTAAAATAAAGCTCTTTCAAAGTTAATAACTTTTTAGTAACTTTACCCTTGGACTGATGATATGGTAGTTAACTTTGAAAATACCATCTCAAAGATCAAAGAAAATATTCTCTCAATTTGTATAAAATGATAACAATATTTAAGTTATCTTTTCAAAATACACTTCGTTGACTACTGTGGGTTCAAGGCAACTATGGAGTACTAATTAGCGTGATTCGGAATATATTTTTTTAAGTCTGGGTGCTTTACTCTGATAAAATATACTCAATAGACTTACCGTTCCATGAAAGCTCAATAAACAAACTAGATCCTTGTAGCCTTTTGTGGCCGTTTTCACATTTATTTTTTTTAAGGAAGGGGGGTCAAACGAGCAGACGGGTCACCTGATGGAAAGTGACTGCCGACGCCTATGAACGTCTGCAACTCAGGAGTCTTTTGCCACCAAACCACAGTTGCCTTTGAATTGTGCTTCCTACTGAGTGTTGTGGGGTCGAGCCACACATGGAACAACACTTTTGTGATCTACAAATAATTGTTATGAAGTCTGGTCGTTCTTTGTATCCGTTTCATGTATGTTTGTAAAGTCACCCGCGACACAGGACATATTCCTAGGGCGGAAGTTTCCTTAAAAAAAAATCTTACTTTTGAACTATTCCAAATATCACACTCTTTCGTACTCGAAAATACTTTAAAAATGAGTACAGAATTTGTTTTTACCTACGTGTGTAGTGGTTGTGTAATACGAGTATTAAGAGTAGTTAAGATAACTACACTGCCAACTTTTCTTTGCGCTTCCACATCCAGTGTGTATACCAAACTATACTTTCTATTTGTATAAATGACAAATATATTTATATAAACAAACCAGAGATCGTAAATTACCCAAATTTGCATATTATTTGTGCGATAAAATCTCTATTACCTTTAGTTGTCATGAATATTGTGTAAAAGTTACACACATTTTGGGTTTTGCCTCTCATTCTGTTATGAATGGGAACGATTTTAATCCCAAATTAATGCAAAATGGGCAATGTTTATGCACATTAATAAAAGGGTTAGTAAATGAGCTGGAAATCTGG